GAGAGCAGGGGGCGTGGCTTCTTGGAAGAGGCGGGACAGGGAAAGGAGAAGTGGTCCTTCTGGCATCCGAGAAGGGCCGTGCCGCCTGCGGGAAGCCGGGGCAGTGGCGATGGGGCCTGCTTCCGCCCGCCGGCCGGCCTCCTGCGCCCGAGGGACCCGCTCCCGCGGCGCCGGCCTGATGCTCCTTCCTTCCATGCTGATGTTCGGCGTGATCGTGGCCTCCAGCGGCCTGCTCCTGATGATCGAGAAGGGCATCCTGTCTGCGGTGAAGCCCCTGCCGCTGCCTCCCTCGCGGGGTGAAGTGTCCTGGCGGAGGGCCCCGGCGGCAGAGGGCGAGGAGGAGGGCGAGGCGGTGCTGCGGGACACCCGCAACCGGACCCTGCGCGCCGTCTGCGGGCAGAAGAGCATGCCCGGCAGCGCCTGGGACCTTCCCGCGGGGCAGAGGAAGACCCTCCTCAAGCACATCCTGGTCAGCGACAAGCACCGCTTCCTCTACTGCTACGTGCCCAAGGTGGCCTGCTCTAACTGGAAGCGCATCCTGAAGGTCTTGGGCGGCGCCCTGGAGAGCGTGGAGGTCAAGCTCAAGATGGACCACCGGCGGGACCTGGTCTTCCTGGGCGACCTCAAGCCCGACGAGATCCGCTACCGCCTCAAGCACTACTTCAAGTTCCTCTTCGTGCGGGACCCCATGGAGCGCCTGCTCTCCGCCTACAGGAACAAATTCGGAGAGATCAAGGAGTACCAGCTCAAGTACGGCGTGGAGATCGTCAAAAGGTACCGGAAGAACCCCGGGAAGACCGCCGGGGACGACGTCACCTTTTCCGAATTCCTCCGCTTCCTCTTGGACGAGGAGCCGGAGAGGATGAACGAGCACTGGATGCCCATTTACAACTTGTGCCAGCCCTGCGCCGTGAGGTACGACTTTATCGGATCCTACGAAAGACTGAAGGAAGATGCCGATTACGTCCTGGAAAGGATCCAGGCGCCTTCTTTCGTACGCTTCCCAGAGCGGCAGTCGTGGTACAAACCGGTCACTCCCGAAACCCTGCATTATTATTTGTGTAACACACCAAGGGACCTTATCGAACAACTATTTCCAAAGTACATACTGGATTTCTCTTTGTTTGCGTACCCTCTTCCAAACATTACGACTGAATCTTGCAGGCAATGAACTTTTCCCATTGTAAATCCTATGCAATTACCCCTGTGAAAATATTCCCTACACCAAGCAGGTACTGGCTTGTTCAGTAGACTCTCCTCTACAGTTATATTCC